GCTTTTTTCTTTTTGCTTATGTGGTGCTGAGGAATTGAACCCAGGGCCTCATGCATGCAAGGCAAGCGCTCTACCACTGAGCCACCTTCCCAGCCCATAGTCTGATTCTTTTATATTTTCATTTACTGCATGTTCTCTAATGATGTTAATTATTTTAGGTTTACCTGCCTTTTAAAATGTTCTCCATTTAAATTTTGGACATCAAAAGTTCCTACATTTTCTCTCCTTATTTCATATACACTGTAGATATCTATCAAGTGTTTATGTGGAGGTGGGGCAAACAGCATATTCTTTTTTTTTAATTTTTTATTGTAAAGATACTATACAGAGGGTTACAGTTACATGAGTAAGGTAATGAGTATACTTCCTATTGAGCATTGTTACCCCCTACCATCCCTTCCCTCCCTACCTTCACCGAGGTTCTTTTTTTTTTCTTTTTCTTTTTAATTGTGATTAAGTGATTACATAATTTCCCAAATTTCACAGTATTGTGGAATGATGATGCTCATTTAAAGTCACAAGTTCATTCTAACTTTCCTGGAGCAAATTGTCTATCACAGTCTATAACATACAATGGTGTACACATATACACCATACATGTGATCAGCAGCATGGGTATATTTAGTAGTGGTTCGACCAGATGAGTGGGAGTTCTTTGTTTCTTCTTTTTTTGGGTCTGGTCGTGGGGCCTGAACTCTGGGCCTGGGTGCTGTCCCTCAGCTCTTCAGCTCAAGGCTAGCACTCTACCACATGAGCCAAAGCGCCACTTCTGGCTTTTTTTCTTTTTGCTTATGTGGTGCTGAGGAATCGAACCCAGGGCCTCAGGCATGCAAGGCAAGTGCTCTATCACTGAGCCATCTTCCCAGCCCCAGTTCTTTGTTTCTTAAGTCTTGTTAATTTTGTCGTATCACCTAACATTTTGGATTTAGCATCCACTTATCAGGGAGACCATGTACCGTTTGTCTCTTTGCTCTTGGCTTACCTCGCTCAACATGATTCCTTCTAGCTCCATCCATTTCCCTGCAAATGCCATTTATTTTGTCATTTCTAATGGCTGCATAATATTCCATTGTGTATAGATACCACAATTTTTGGATCCATTCATCTGTGGTGGGGCATCTAGGTTGTTTCCATGTCCTAGCTATTGTGAACAGTGCTGCAATAAACATGGAGGTGCACATGTCCTTGTATATTGGTTCAAACAACATATTCTTGATGCTCAAACATATATTCTTCATAGGTGTCTAGGTCTTCTCCCTTCACTCTTTTACTGTTACTTTTTAATTTTAGGATTTTTTTTTTGGGGGGGGGGTCCGGTCATGGGACCTGAACTCTGGGCCTGGG